TGAAGGAATTCGTCAGATCTCTGTGAGAGATTAGGTTATCTGTAAACCGGAGAAATCGGGATGACATTTACAGGGACTCAGGAATCTATGCATAGTAAAAGAGATCATGAGATGATCTGCCTTTAGAGTCAGTAAATTGAAGATTCCCTATTTCGAATAAAGCTTACCCTAAACCACAATGGTTGATACGTTTCCTTACCCTAGGTTTTATGGGAAGGTAACCGAGACGAAAGAAAATACATACGACAACCAAATATGTGTAATAGGATGATTATGTCATTAACCTAACTAGCTCTGGGGCAACAAAGCATTGCTAGTGCTCTGTGTTGTCATTAGATGGGTTGTGGGCTTATTGGGCCCAAGCCCATTTATGTCAGTAGCTATGTTGGGCCTAATGGTTCACACACTAACACCTTATTGTCATGACAATATAGCATTAAAGGTATTGGGCCTAATAATGGTTGTTAGCCCAAGAAGAAGTTTGGAAGCCCACCAAAAGGAAAAAAAGGGCGCATGGTTAGTTAATGGGCTTGGATGGTCCAAGACATTACTAATTAATTTAATTAGTTAAATTAATTATCAAATGTTTAAATTTTGAAATTTTGAATTTTGAATTTGAATTTTGAATTTGAAATTTGAATTTGAATTTGGAATTTGAATTTGAATTTAAAATTTAAATATTTGAACGTTTGAATTCAAATGTTTGAATTCGAATTTTAATTGGCTATGAAAAGTTGTTTCATAACAAAAGGATAAGATAAGATCTTGTTGGAACAAATCCCAAATATCAAGAGGAGATCTTTGAGAATCTTCTAGTGAGGATATGGGGCGCTGATTTAGGTATCTGATGATGGTCATAGGATCAACCAAATGAGCTCCAGTCAGATTTGGTTTGTTGAGAGAATAAGTGAGACAGTTGGTTCAAGTTTGAATGCAACTGTTCAATGTATCTGGACTGTTATGAGGCCAAGTGGGGCGCACCATATGGCTGGCCATATGATGGTTGTTGAGTCAGATTCTTGTTGAGATATTCACTTGATATCATGAGGATGTGAGAGGAGGTTGTTGACAAGATTTGAATTTTGCAACAACTCCACTCATCCCCCTAGTGTGCGCTATATATAGGGCCTTATTTGAGTGAAGAAAATTAGATTTTAATTAACTCATTCTCTCATCTCCTTGTGGGTTCCTTTTGTGAGGTTTTTCTTAAGAGAGTTTCGAAATATCCTAGCCTTTTTAAAAAGAAAACCATGCGCCACTTTTGTGTCTATTCTTGCTGAATATACACTCTTCTAAACACCTTGACCTAGCCTCCTCCTTCACACATTGGGCGCATAGCTTGCCTCCATTGGTGTTTTCGTTGGTGGCCTTGAAGAAGAGTTCTTCCGTCTTGACAAAGGGTGGTGTGGATCAACATTAGAGGGCTTGCATCTTCAAGCCTCATCTTGATCATCCTCCAGTTTTGGAAAGCAAACAAGGTAACATCCATGCCCTAAAGCATGTTTCTTGATATGGTATGTGTTATTCCGCTCGAAAAATTTTGTTTTTCTCTCTCACATGCCTCGACCTTCAAGTTCAGTTTCTTTCACAGAGAATCAACGTAATCATTATTCCATCAGTTGGGATACTATTATGTCTTTGAAAGAGGATGGTGGTTTGGGTTTGAAACGTCTGGAGATCATGAACGATGCTTTCTTAGCTAAGAAAGCATGGAGGTTGTATTCTGAACCTCATTAACTCTGAGTTCAAGTAATGCATGCAAAATACATGACAGGGATAAGAGCTGATGCCTTGTTTCAGACTCGTAGGTGTGATTCTCGTCTTTGGATTAACATGTGCGGGTTGTGGCATGATTTGGAGGATAAACTGGTTTGGGAGATGGAAGATGGAAGGGAAGCTTGATTTTGGAAAGATAGATGGCTTCTAATTTCGAGATCTTTGGAGGATTTGTTTATTGGTGATAATCAAGAGGTGAACACTGAGCTAAAGGTTTCTGAAATGGTCAATCCTTCTGGTGAATAGAACTTTAGTTTGATGAGTTCCTGGTTGCCAAGTAATATCATTGATATGTTTCGTAGTTGTCTTCCACCCACTCCTCTGGATGGTCCTGATAGAAGAATATGGTGTCTTCCTGATTCTAATTCAGCCTCGGTTGGAGCAATATATAGATGTCTATCAATTCATGCTATAACAGATGAGAACAAGCAGAATACCTGGAAGAGGCTTTGGTCTTGGAATGGTCCGTAGAAGATCAAAATTTTTGCTTGGAAGATGGTGCGTCAAAACTTGCTAACGAAATGTAAAATTGCTCAATGGAGTGGAGGTGATAATTTATGTCCGTGCTGTAAGAGGGAATCTGAATCATTGATGCATTCGTTGAGGGATCGTACAAGTGTTAAAAGGGTATGGAAGATTCTTATTCCTACTACCCTTGTTTCAAGTTTTTTTAGTCAGGAAACAGTCACGTGGTTTATTTCTAATTTTAGGGTATCTATTAACTATGATGCATTTGATGGCTGGTTAACTATATTTCTCTCAGCTTGCTGGAAGATCTGGAATTGGAGGAATAAGGTTAATCAGGGTGAAGATGTGCCTCCCTTAGAGGTCAAGATTAATCTTATTAGGAGGCTAGCTATGTATGTGAAGGAAGCGTCTACTAGTAGGGGGTTGCAGTCTAGAGCGGGGCATACTCAAATTAATATAGCCTGGCAATTCCCTGAGGAGGGTTATGTGAAGATTAATACTAATGAAGCAGCACATGGAAATCCTGGTTTAGCAGTATGTGGGGGTGTGATCAGAAATTCACAAGGTATCTAGTTGAGGGGGTATGATTACAAGCTGGGGTTTTATTCGGCTTTTAGAGCGAAACTATGGGATATTTTGCATGGTTTAGAGGAAGCTTGACATACTGGTTTTAGGAAAATAATTCTGGAAAGTGACTCGTTATTAACTATGTGGTATAGCAGTCCGTGAAATATAGAATGTTAAGTAAGTTGTATATCATGATTTCATGGGAAAAAAAACTTTTTTTTTGTTGTAAAGTGATATTTCAATAATTATTTTTCTGAAATTATATTTTAGTAATGTTTAATTAAATTATTTACTTTAAATATTGATATGATTAAATGATTATTATTTTTATGGTATCTCTTCGTCCCTGTGTGAAAGACTAGATTCATAGCTCTTCCAACAATATTTTTTTTATACATATAAACCTAAGGAACCAAAGACAGCAACCAGAGAGCTAAGTATAAGGATAGGTGGTAACGAATAAATTCTGCTTTGACTCTGTCCCTCACAGTCAACGCCATCGTTGCGGCCATATATCCTTTTGATTCTGTGGAAAGCAGAGGACTTGAAAATTCGCTTGGTTTTGTGCATTTAGGGGACGTTTGGTACACATCATTTTTCAGAATTTTTGAAAAACTGAATTTTTCTAAATTTTTAATTTTCAGATATTATTGTAAATTGAGTGTAAAAATTATATTTTTGAAAATCGAGATTTCCGGACAAAAAAAAAATTCTCCACTACTAAACGCCCCCTTAGTGTCGATGATTATTACCCACACCGAGACTCAGGAGCACCACACATTTTGAAGGTAATGAACAGAGTTAATGCATCTTTGTGTTGCACAAAACGACAGGGAGTGCAGTGCTTTGAGATAAGTCTTGACTTGAGTTGAGATAGATATGGTGTTGCTTTCAATTATTAGTATTAGTTTGATTCATTGGAGGTACCTTGAGATTTTTTTTGTTACTCTGGTGAAACTAGATAAGTGGACAATTTTTCATTGCATAATCTGAAACCATTGGCATTCAATCTGTCGATGATGTCTTCGTAAGCTTGTCTGTTTGTCTTTAATATTATCAATTAAAATCTTTCAAATATATATATATATATATATATATATATATATATGGCTTTGTTTTTCCTACAGTAGTCGAAGATCACCAAGTTTTTCTGCACATAGAAACAAGCTGGGTCCCACTAGTTTTTGTAAAAAAAAAAAAGAAAAAAAGATTAGGCACGCTTTACGAACTAAGAGTGACATAAGATAAACAATTTACTGTCATAGAAGAATACATTTTGCCATATATATATATATATAGGATATTCTTACACCAGTATAAGAGTTAGAAGTCTTACACTCAATCTTGATCATTGATCCACTTGTATCCACTTGTCCGCTGATTTCATTTATATCTAAGGACTCAATTTTTTTAATAATGTGAGCCATTGAATGCAAGTGGATCAATGGTTAAAATTGAGTGTAAGACTTCTAACTCTTACATCGGTGTAAGAATATCATGCCATATATATATATAATTAAATATTTATATACTTTTAATCTGATTTCAAATAATTATAATTATAATATGTTAAAATATAAAAATAATATATTCTTATTAGTTTAATTTAAAAATAAAATTTATTTTGAATGATACGAGTGGCTTAGGGATGAAAATGGGTTGAGCTGAGCCAAACTTTATCCCGACAAGCTCAAGCCTATGCCAAAAAATTTTACTCACTTTCAGAAGCAAAATGCTCAAACTAAATAACATATGTTTCATCAGATCCAACAAACCAATCCATACTAGCTAAATTAAAATAGCTACATGAATTCAACAAACACATCATGATACTTGTAATAGCCAAAAACTTCTCATCATCTTCTCTCCCCTTCAAATACAATTCAAAGGTTACATAAGTTGGCAAACAAATTGTAAATGTAGAAAACAAAAAATAAGATTAAAGAATAAAAAGAAAAAAAATAAGATTAAAAAACAAAAAAAGATTTTTATACCTTTTTATTTTTTCTTTAAGTCATACTTATTACGTACCAATCTCTACCACATATTAAAGCTTAGAAGGTATCTTCGGCCAACCTAGAATGATAAGCATCAATACCTCTTTCTCTCACTATATATATATATATATATATATATATATATATATATATATATATATATATATATATACGTAAACACTCAATCGGATCGAGAGAAAAAATGAGTAGAATGACTTTTTATTATAAGTATTACGATGAGTGTGAGAAGGAAAAAACATATACATAATTGAATGAGAGAATATTTGTGTTGTGTCCTTTCATAAACACCTAATCGTAAGAATATGTGTAAATCATGAGCCTACTACATTAGACTTGCTGATTGCTATTTTCTTCATTCACGCTTGAGTATTCGTAGCCTTCCCTCTTTCTTTCTTTTTTTAAAAAATGAACAACCTTGTTTCACGGAACCTTTATCAATCCATTTCGAAAAATTCTTACTGGGTTTATTATGCATTGAATTCTACTGCGGTCTTTGTTGAATATGGATTCAAAGAAGCTTGAATTTCTTCTAGTGTACGCCCCTTGGTCTCCGGTACTAGTTTTGCTACGAATAGAACAGTGAGGCCACATATGCTAGAGAATACGATGAAAGTTCCTACCACAACATAACATTATAATTAATTTCATTTCATATATAAATATAGGTTCAAATTTTCTACTCTAACTGCAAAAAAAATCGTCTTCTACAACCAATTTTTACTATATACTCCCGGAAGTACATAATAAAAATATTAAAGCTACAAAAAATTTCTGTAGAGATAGATTTCCCTATAAATATAGGGGATATTGTTTCTAATGTTGTATGAGACAAATTGTCTCATGTAACACACCAAAAAGTAGGTGTGAACTACTAAGGAGAAAAGAAAAAAAAACATGAGAATTTGTTTAATGCAAACGAGAAATAATATTTCTATAAACTTTTCTATTTTTTATGTATGGGAAGCAGGGATCAACAAAAATAAATGCAAACCTACCTACGGAACTCCAACTCATGAGGAAATTAAAAGCATATGAAACAATCCAAGAACACAACCAGCTAACCAAGGTCACAAAGCTTCCAGCAGAGCCCTTCACGTTTATGGGAAATATCTGGAAAATAAAAATATAACCATTAATTCATCATGCGGATGATTTTTATGTTTGAATTTTTATTTCATGAGCTGAATCATAATAAGACGAAGCTACCTCGGACATTATAATCCAGGGAATTGGTCCCATGCCTATCGAGAAAGATCCTACGTATACCTGGCCATTAACAAAATCAAAAGGACAATTACCATTATATGTCAATCTATAAGTAAATTGGCCTGAATAGACATCAGGAATTGAGTTAATATTTTAAAACTTCTAACTTTAGGGGCATCATTCAAATATTAAATTCAATTCTATTTCGAGAAGGCAAATAAAAGGCCAATGAAAACTCAAAATTTAAGTTCAAGGAAGAACTCGAGAACTACATTAGATATGCTAGTAGCCTAGTACTACAAATCTTCTACGAAATTTTACTCTCAATTGTGCAATTAATGCCCAAAAGATAATTTGCTAATAGTTTGACATCACTCTTTCACGGTCATAAAACAGAGTAATGATTGAATACATTCAAGTTAGGTACCTAGAGCTTGAAATTAAATTTATGAGATTTTGTGCTATAGTTGAAGATTTGTATATAAAGCCATTAGCATTGGTCTAGTGGTGAGGGGTTTGAGTAATTTACATGAGATTATAGGTTCAAATCTCAATATCACCGTTGTATAAAAAAAAAAAGATTTATATATAGGCATAGTGGCATAAGTATTACCAGTACACCAACAAGCACCAGAATGGGACTGACGCCCTTCAATTTATGCAAGTCCTGCATAAGGCAAACTTAATTATTCTTGGAAATAATTCATGCGAAAAATAACTTAGTAGAGCATATTATTTTGTTAAATGAACCTGCATGAAGAATGATAGGGCCGCGAGGAAGCATCCTAAGCATGTTCCGAGTGCAGACACCTGTACAAGAGTCAGAATTTTGGGTTAAGAATTTACAGAACACCATAAAAAGGAGAAACAAAAGCTCAACCTATTTACCAGCAAAAGTGGTCGTCTTCCAGATTTATCCATCAAAAGTACTCCCAAAGTTGTCATTGGGAACTATAAATACAAATGACAGATTTGTGTGAAGAGACTACGGAACAATTGCATCTATCTCATCTTATACAGAATTAAGCTGACAGAAATGATGAAATAGTGTAAAGAGAAATAAGAACCTTAACAGCAACCATTGCTATCGTTCCAATACTATCCGAAAACCCTGTCATGGATAAGAAACTTTGCTTTCATGTGAATTGTATCATAAATCTAATATTCTCACATTCATCTTCCCTTACTTGTCAAATGAATCAAATGATAGATGCATATAAAAGGGCTTACACATACCAGCAGAGGTAAATATTGAATTTGCATAAAAAACAATGCCATTAATCCCTCCAAACTGTTGCAGTATCATCAAGCCAACTCCAACCTAACCAAGTAAATAAATACCATAAGAGTCTGCAAAAGGTAAAGATAAGGAGCATGAATGGAGCTAATTTAGCATGCTCACAGTAAGTGACTTCAAATACTTCAATTGAAATAAGCCAATAATGCTAGCTTCTTTTTGCCGCTGAAGGGTTTCTGTATAATCCTACAAATAAAAGTACAATGTATGAAATGATATATTAGATTCTTCGGTTTCTTCTTTTTTTTATTTCCTTTCTTTTCCTTCCTGGTTAGATTGTAAGCCAATAGTAACATTCTAATGAACAAAAACTTGATTGTATACTCTAATTTCAGTGGCCTCTTGATACACATCAGCATTCTTCCCCCTAAGGCGCTGTAAAGCAGAATCACTCTCTTTCAAGCGACCAACCTTTGCCTGCAAAAGATTGCAAGTACCACTTGTCATATGTTAGCCTAATGACATATCTTGACTACAACCATTTGACAAAAGTGATGAAAATTTTCATTTGCTTGGGATAGAGCTGTGTCCAACAAATACAGTCCAAACAACAAACTTACAGCAGCCATGAACAACTCACCAGCCACCTAGGAGAATCAGGGATGAAGGGAAGACTCAGAAGCTGTAAAAGACACGGAATAGTTCCTGAGATAAAGACAAAAAAAAAAAATTAAGTTACATGGCACCCTTTTTAATTTTATTTATTTTGTAAAGTGAACACCAGAAAGAAGAATATTACCTACTAGAGCCAAAATCCGCCAATTCGAGAATGCTCCAATAAGATAAGTTAATGACATCCCACAACAACTCATAAACTGTCAAAGTAATACCAAATAGGGATTTAAGATAAGCCTACACGTGACATATGCCAAACATAGATAGATATACACACAATAAGAGTAAAATGATATTAAGAGATTAGAGTACTGCTTTACCTGATGAACTGTGGTGAATCCCCCTCGAAGATTCTTTGGTGTTATTTCTGCTATATAAACCGGTACCTACTATGCAAAAGGAACTATTTATTTGTATTTTTGGAGCGACTGAACATAGTTTGAACTGCAATTATAACAAATTACACGTCACAACAATTACCACATAAGATAGAAGACCAATCCCACATCCTACCAACAGTCTTCCAACATAGAGCGACCAAGCAACCTTCAAACAAGCCACCAAGCGTTATAAAAAAAGCAGCTACTCAACAGAAATTTTGTGCTGGAGTCTTGTTAAAAGGATTACTAATTTTCTTTGTCAGGCAAATAAGTTTCATAGTTAACACCATGACATGTACTTCATATCTTCAATAGTTACAATGAATTCTTTTTTCCCTTTCCTTGAAATATATATGTAACTACTTTCCTTCTTACCGTAGAAAGGTTACTAAAATTACCAGTTATGAGACATATTCAACTACCATGTCAGCAACATAGAGAAAAAAAACCTTTGAGAATGTTATGGCAAGCCATCCCAAGATGCAGAATACCTCCGAGAATCCCATGGCCTGCTCAGCAAAACGCAAAATAACATTCAATTTAAAATTAAGAGTAAATACATTTTTCGGTCCTGGTGAAATTTTACTATGACCGCTTTAGTCCCTAGCAAATAAAAAGGCTATTTGTGATCCTAAAAAATCCAGAGTGGACCCATTATAATCCTTTCTTTTGAGGGAAAAAATCCAGAGTGGACCCATTATAATCCTTTCTTTTGAGGGACTAATATGGATCTTTTTTGAATTTGTGAGGGACCACGATTTCAACTAAATGGGTTCATTTTGAATTTATTAGGGAATACAAATAATCTTTTTATTTGCTAGAAATTAAAGCGGGAAATTTGACGATGATCAAAAAAGAGTATTTACTCTAAAATTAATTGTAGCCACTTTTTGAAAAAGACATAATAAATCAGAGAAACTTACAACTCGACGACCTGCGTAATCTGCTATTTTACCACTCCCAACGGCACCAATCATCGCTCCAATCGTCAATATTGAACCGAAAAGTGAAAACTACATGATTGCAATGAATAATTAAGTACTAAAAAATATAACAAAAGCAAAAGGTTGTGAATTGTTATTCAATGTTCAAACCTCAGCCACACCGAGATTGAGGTCATCCATGATTCTAGATTGAGTAGGGGATGAATATGCCACCTGCAAAATTAATCACTACTCATGTGACAGTGGTCATTGATGGATTTGCCAAACTAAAATGTGAGAAAAATGGTTAACTAACTTACAGCAGACCCAAAAACGAAAGAACCAAGAACAGCAACAAGGGTGCTAAGTATAAGAGTTGCTGGGATAGAAGAGTTTCCTCTTTGACTCTGTCCCTCACGGTCAACGTCATCATTGCTGCCACCATCACCTTGTGATTCAACGTTGCCTGTCGAAAGCAGAGGACTTGAAAATTCGCTTGCTTCACTGCTTTTACTATCCATGATTTCTGTGTTAAAACAACCAGACACAGCAACGTGGTTCCCAGAGTTTATAAATTGGGGTTCCTCGTGTTGACCAAAACAACAAATGGGAAAGTACGTGAGATTATTAGACTTGTCTTCGGATATGGATATTGTGTTTTGAACAACATCTCAGGAACAGTCACCAAAACTTTACATCGTTGCGAAAAAAAAGTTTCAAAACGTCACGCGAATATAATTTTTCAAACGCGTCCAAACTCGCTACAGATATGACACATTTTCTGAGGCTAAGAAGCTCAGAAGTCGGATATAGCGAGTCAATCAGTCTGTAGTACTAAGCAGAACACGTGACACAGCAAAGTCGTTTTGCAGGAATTTAATTTGACACGTGTTATAAAATTTTGATAATTTTATTGTAAAATTTCAAAAAATCAAAGTTTTTAGCTCGTGAGTGAGTTGACTCTAACCTATTGAGTTATATATTTTTTTAGCCTATACAAATTATTTAAGGGATTGCATCTTCTCTAGCAGTAGAACAAGAGACTTTTTTGGCGGCTGACACAGTTAAATAGGTCTCCCTGATGTATTGGCAGGAGAACATGAATTTTGCAGCAACAGAAAACTTATTTTGCCCACTATTTAATATGCAAACTTTTTGGCCCTTATCTATATGGGCCGACCCATTTTAAAAATTCTATTATCAAATGCTTACTTGAAGAACCAAATTGATGAAGCAGCTAAGAAACAGATTTTTGATTTTGAGAATAAAAAATAAAAAATTTGTTTGATAATGTACGTTTTATAAAAATAGTTCTAAAAATTATATATATATATATATAGTTTTTAGAATTAAATTTAAAAAACATATTGAATTATTTTTGTTTTTTATTTTGTGTTGTGACTTTTAATTTTCAAAACAAAAAATACAGAAAATACATATTTCATTAACTATTCTACAAAATAGTTTTAAGAAATATTTCATTTGTTTACACATAGTTCAAATAATGTGTATATAACAAAATTACGAGAGGCATGTGATATTTAGACAAATACATTAATGTTTGGAAGAGTAAATCAAGTTAAACATGTATAAAATTAAATATTTAAAAAAAAGACACTTGTTATATAATTATTTAATTTTTTTCACCATTAATGAGTATGTCCAAAGCTAATCCCTATTTACTATTCGTATGGTGGGTCTTTTGTTTTAATTTCTCTTCTCAAGGATGAATTTAATCAAATATATTTTATAAAAGTTCTTTTCAAAAAAAGAATTTTTTTAATAAATACCCTCGTGAGCTTTTTTTTAAGATGTACGTTAGTTTTTTTTTTTTTTCATTTATACCCTTGTTCTAAAATTATATTTATAAATTTTATTCTCTATCTTAATGACAAATCATTCGATATCCTCTTTCCATCCAAAATGCTGAGAATGTCCCCAAGAAGAATGAATATATTTTTTTCATTCTTGGACTTATTTTTTCCTTTAAAATCTTCATCTTTAAAACCTTTGTCTTTTATTTCTTATTATATTTGTATTTATCTAAATAATGGAGATATCTAATACCCTTTATGATAATTTTAATTAGGGTTCATTTTTTTGTAGTGAATGCAAATAAGTTATCTGCATTGAATCAAAATGGCATAGTATTTGGGACGGAAATGAAGATATTTTTGTAATTATAATTTATTTCAAGATTATAACAGTCTTTATCATTACAATTTTTTAAACTTTCAACTCGGTTATGGACCTACATAAAGCCCATATGCCTAAAAGGCTCAATAAAGGACAAACACTTGACAGCTATACAAGAAGACAATTGGACCCATGAAGCAAAGGGTTCAGATTATTCAAACATTAAAGGTAAACTCTATAAATAAGAGATAAAGACCACATATATGTATTAATCTTTCTCTCTTACTATTATGTTGTCACTGTGCACACATACCACCCCATTGGCTAAAGCCTTATAGTTGTGTACGATGATTCGCTATTCCCAAGGTATCTAATTCATAGATACCTACAGAGAGCACAAAATTCCATATTGATCTACTAGCCCTAGGATAGACATCTCTGTCACATAGACAAAACATTGGCATCATCTGTTGGAAATGAACCCACGAAATCCCACGAAAATCATGGCACGTACCACACGCACCAGAAGTGGTTATCAACAGCCACTATTGCCAAATCCTGAGCCACGAAAAAACCCGGTGATAGAGGAGGTTCCAGTGGATCAACATGGCCCTGAGAATCAACAAGCGGTTGACCACAATGCTGTTCATATCAGTGACGTGCATTCTGATTCGGCTTCAACCCCAGCGGTGAATCAGAATGCACCATATGTACAAGGATTGCAACTACTGATTGCGCAAATTGCAAACGTTGTGCAGATCCCATCTGATATCAATGAAGACCAATGTGTTACAGATCTTGTAGTCGCTGCAGTGTTGAGAAGGATGGAAGAGATGGAGAGACGTAATCAGCTTCAACAAGAGGAGGATGCGCATCCGATCCGGGGTCTGGAAGCAAGACTATTGCATTCAAGGAACCTTGATCCTAGGCAAGCTATGACTTGAGTTATGAATGATCTGACGATATCAAGTCCTCCACGAAGGGTGACTGAGCCAAACAATGATTAGGGAAGAAACGACCTCAGCCAGACAATACAAGTCGGCAAAGGAAGTTGAAGATGGTTTGATCATGCAAGTGGTAGACGAGATGGAAAACCAGAGGACGCAATGAATAAGGCAATCCAGAATGAACAATTCGGTATGCAAGAAAGAATAAGTCACTTGCAAGATGGAGGAAGAGGCAATATCTAAGGGGATGATACCGAAGCACATAAGAGAGCTAAGTATACTCGGCTGCATCATGGTCAACCCAGGAAACCAAGGAACCCGGATGATGTGACAGAACTTTACAAGAGGAAATATCACAGGGGGCAAGACAATAATAGCCTTTTTATTGACGGAATTGTTGATGCACCCTTTCTTGAGAATCTCAACTTGTCGGAGTTGTCAAAGTATGATGGAAGTCAGGACCCCAGGTTCATCTGGAAACTTTTGATACAACCATGTATGTAACATCCCAAGCGCTGACGAGGGCGGGGAGTGATCGCTGGTGCAAAGAGGCACGGACAAGGAGCGGCTCTTGACAGGCTTCCAGCGGGGGGTTACATGCATGAATGAATCGAATCGACACCCGAAAGAGAGAGATTCCAAAAACTGTGCATGCATGAGACTGCACAGTTTGGGAGAGCTTATAAGAATTAATTGGTACTACCTATACTAAAAGGATGCATCTGCTTTTCGGTAGCCCAGAATGAAAGAACTCAACAGTTAAGCGTGTTTGACTTGGAGCAATTCTGGGATAGGTGACCTCCTGGAAAGTTTGTCTAGGAAGTGTGCGAGTGAGAAAAAAGCACACTGAAAAGTCTCGTGTTAGTATGTGAGGATAGTCGTTGATTCTTGAAGCGGCCAAGCGTTACAAGTGGTATCAGAGTAGGGCCTCTCATCCAGTACGGTGTGGTTCGAGGACGAACCAGGTGGAAGCTGGTGGGCATGTAACATCCCGAGCGCTGACGAGGGCGGGGAGTGATCGCCGGTGCAAAGAGGCACGGACAAGGAGCGGCTTCTGACATGCTTCCAGCGGAGGGTTACATGCATGAATGAATCGAATCGACACCCGAAAGAGAGAGATTCCAAAGGTTGTGCAGGTATAAGACTGCACAGTTTGGGATAGCTTATAAGAATTAATTGGTACTACCTATGCTAACAAGATGCATCTGTTTTTCAGTAGCCCAGAACGGAAGAACTCCACAGTTAAGCGTGCTTGACTTGGAGCAATTCTGGATGGGTGACCTCCTGGGAAGTTTGCCCAGGAAGTGTGCGAGTGAGGAAAAAGCACACTGAGAAGTCTCGTGTTAGTATGTGGGGATAGTCGTTGATTCTTAAAGCGGCCTTCGTGCCTCTTTGCACCGGCGATCACTCCCCGCCCTCGTCAGCGCTTGAGATGTTATATGCATGAATGAATCGAATCGACACCCGAAAGAGAGAGATTTCAAAAACTGTGCATATATGAGACTGCACAGTTTGGGAGAGCTTATAAGAATTAATTGGTACTACCTATACTAACAAGATGCATCTGCTTTTCGGTAGCCCGGATCGGAAGAACTCCACAGTTAAGCGTGCTTGACTTGGAGCAATTCTGGGATGGGTGACCTCCTGGGAAGTTTTTCCGGAAAGTGTGCGAGTGAGGAAAAAGCACACTGAAAAGTCTCGTGTTAATATGTGGGGATAGTCATTGATTCTTGAAGCGGTCGGGCGTTACAATGTATATCAAGGGTATAGAAGAACCATTGATTATGCGGTTGTTTGCGACATCTCTAACAGGAGCAGCTCAGATGTGATTTTCTTCATTGCCGATAGGATCTATTAGGTCTTTTGAGGAGTTTAGTGGGAGGTTTCTGTTAAACTTCGCTACCAGCAAAAAGCAGCCAAAGTCAGAATTTGCTCTGGGAAAGATAAGACAGCAACCCGATGGATCCCTCCAGAAATACCTAGACCGCTTTAAAGAAGCGGCATTACAAGTCCCGGGATTATTTGAAAACGTTCACGGCACTTAGTTGCGACCGGGTTGCATGGGTCCTCTATATTGGCAAATCCATTTACAAGGACCCAGTTAGGACATTAGTGGAATTCACAGCTCGGTAAAAAAAAAATACCTTGAGCTGGAACAAATGGAAATAGAGAACTCTGATGTAAAGAGAAGCCCGGGAAGAATGGAGAAGCCTGGAAATAGAAGGCAAGGTGATTTCCTGGGTAAAAAGCTAGAAGAAAGACCACCACCAAGGGAAAGATATGAAAAATATGCTTCACTCAACTTGTCGCGCTCCCAGTTCTGGAGGAAGGTAGCTCTAACCAAGATGAAAAAGGTAGAAAAACCTCGGCCTCTAATAAACAAGAATGGCTTAGACTAGACGAGATATTGTGTATTTCACGATGGCCCAGGACATACCCCAGATGAATGTTGGGACTTAAGGGATGCAATTGGAAAATATATTAGAGATGGCAAATTACACTAGTATCTAATCAAAACACAAGGATGAAGGAATAATACAAAGAGAAAGGGCCGTAATTGGAGCCCGGCAAGAGAAAAGAAACCAAGGGAGGAAAACAGAGGAAAGAAACCAGATGAAGACAAAGATGAGTTCATAGAACCAGAGTTTGAATGTAACGTGATTAGTGGAGCACTAAGGGGTAG